CTTCCTTCCTTCCTCCTCTCTCTCTCTCTCTCTCTCTCTCTCTCTCTCTTTCTTTCTTATTCCTTACCATTTCATATCCTCGCCCCCGCTTCGGAAATCGACAAACAACATTCGTCCGCTTTCTCCGAGGTACTTTCGATCTGCAGATCGCGGAGCAGATCGAGAGAGCTCCAAATACGTCCGATGCTCAATAAGCCTCGTTGATTCATGCCCGTTCGGCCGACAAGCGACTTTCGACTTGATCGATGGGAACTCGAAATAGTTTGTAACTTGGTAGCCACGGTCGCGTTGCGGTTTCGACTTCGCAGAATATATTCGCGCGCCTCATCTCCCCCTTGACCCCCGCTTCGTCTCGTCGGTCGGCCTGCGCTCCGCTGGTTTCGCCCTCGAGGAAGCGAGCATTAATTCATATTAAGTGTCACTTAATCGGGAACTTCGACGGGAAATAAGCGTCGGACCATATCCCTTTCTCACCTCCCCCTCCCTCCTTTCTGCGTCCCTTCTCGTTCCGTATCGGATGTTTGTAGCACGATACGAAAAGACGGATCGCCCGCTTAATTGATGCATAGGCGAGATATAAAAGAGACTTGCTGTATCTTCCGGAGGGTTCCTTCCGGAAAATTGTGAGTTATTAACCGCGTGGTATATTTGTAGAAAGAAGATCGTCCGCCACTTTTCCTTCGTCTTTTATAATGAGCAGGACGTGACTCAAAGCAAAGATATTTATAACCTAAAATATCTAATGATATTTTATACTCCAATTCCTTACGCTAAAGGGACGAATTACGAAGCGTTTGTAGAAAACAGAGTTTAAAAGCTCAAAAAACAAAAGCTTACTTTATAGCCTTCTTTATTTCAGAATCAAGTTTTTTATCAGGCGTTTCGAATTAAATTTTCAATAACCACAATTATGAAAAAAAATATCAATTGTATGATATAATTTATAATTTCTCAAAGTATAGTAAATCCGAAAGTACACGTAATTTGTTCAATTGTAATATACTAATTGGTGTATAAAAATAATTCATAAAATATATTTATATTCTAGCAATGTTAGATAACTTGCGGCTGAACAAACGTTCGTAATAAGTAATAACAAAGCGATTATGTTTATCGATGCGGACGCGACTTATTTCGCGTACATAAACGCTTTCCAACGTCTCGTGTCGGAAAAAGATCAAACGCTTCCTCGAAGTGCAATTAATTTGTCGCTCCATTACGCGGGGGTTCTTCTTGAAGTCAGGTTTAATTAAAATCGTTATAACGGCGATCGTGGATCGTTATAGCTCCAATAATAGGCGCCGTAGATATCCGACGAGTTTTCTCCCGGGCAAAAATATACGCAGACTTACTCCGGGTGCTTTCTAGAAACGAACCTATTATTTCTCAGCACACGTCTGCTTCGTTATCAACTAACGTTAGAACAGACTTGCAGTATTAAAAACGCTTGTCGGTTACGCTGTATATTATACCTTCAAAATTAAACTTGGCACAGCGCGAAATATCCACGTCTTAGTTGCTGAACAAATCGAGATTAAATAGTATCATTTTCTTTCAAGAAACACCGTAAAATTTTAGTACGCATCAAAATTAAAATTTAAAAGATTTTAAAAGATTTTAATATCACGATTGACGTAATCTACACTACAATAATATTACTTTAAACGCGAGATACGATTCGCGTTATTCACTTCGAACGTCACTCATCCCATTTCTATTTCTACTTTGCAACTATAACGCAACTATAACGCGAGTTTTTCAGTGGTAATCCAAAAATGATTCTACCTTGCTAATTCTCGTTAAGAGAAAACTTTCCCATCCGATTCGGAAATCAATTAGTGGCAGATTCAGTTTCCACGTAAGAGGCGAGTCGCGCGTCACCGATGCGCAATCTTATCGTCCGGAATAGCGCCTGGAAATGGCGGAGAAAAAGAAGTTTTAATTAAACCTAGAATAAGAGTTTAATCGAGCAAGAGGGATTAATTGCCCGGGAGGGGAATTAAAACGACCGTAGGGTCAAAGGAAGCTGGCCAGTCTCTTCCGCGCGCGGCGGTCTCGCGCGACTTCTGAAATACCTCAGGCAAAGCCATCCGTATAAATATGCGCGTGAAATCTCGCTGCGAATGTTCTATTATGTCTAATTAACGGGACGCCTGACTTCACGCGCACAATGAACGCCGGCGATGGATCCCGCTTTTCATTTTCGAGCTATCTCGTCCTATCAAATTCTTCTAATTCCTGGCGATCCGTGGGCGAAACGCGGCTTCTTTGTGCGAAGCACGCTACAATGAACAACGGCGTATTTAAAAGAACCTTGTGACCGTCTCTCTCTCTCTCTCTCTCTCTCTCTCTCTCTCTCTCTCTCTCTCTCTCTCTCTCTCTCTCTCTCTCTCTCTCTCTCTCTCTCTCTCTCTCTCTCTCTCTCTCTCTCTCTCTCTCTCTCTCTCTCTCTCTCTTTTTCTCTCGAAAGAGAGCTTCACTAGCGAGCGCTCCCCCTGCACGCCATGAATTAACTGTATAACTCTCGCCAGGCCACGTCCATTTTTTGCCGTCTTATATTTTTTTATCGAATAAATCCCATTTCGCGATTCCCAAGAGGGCGCCGTGCGCGCGCGCAGCTGATGAGAGAGTAAAAATAGCCGGCCATTGGTTTTGCGAATCATTTTTAACGTTTCACCGCGCAGTCACCGTCAGATTTTACCCGAGTATTGTTCGATGCAGTGGCACCGTGCGCAACATATACTATGTCAAACAATAGTATGCTTTACGGTGATTCGATTTATATCGGATTTTTTGCCGTGTTACACATCAGGCGCGCCGTGTGGCCACGATATGTCGAAGTCTCGTGCAAAATAGATTCGCGTCCGTTGCCAAACAAGTCTATCACTGCCAACGCGAACGGAAAATACATAGAGAGAATCCGTTGTTAATACGATGACATGTTACTGGATGTTTTTACCGTTATACTGCTTAATTTCTCGATGACATAGTCGCATTAAAAATTTATATATTTGCATTCCTTCAGGTGGGTTTCATTGAATCTCGCAGTGTGACTACGATAAAATTTATGATTAATATTAGAGAAATTTAGAGAAATTGTTTCAATCAATTTAATGTCAAGCTTCCTTTAAAATAAAACGATGCAGGCTAAAGAGTAATAAACAGAGTTTTTTTTTCAGAAACTGAGCACGATCTTTTCGAGATTAACTCAGAATTAAATATAAATAATAAAATTTCAATCTTCTGCAGTTAACTTGAAGCAGACTTCGCAGAATCCTAATTTAAGACTTAATTTAATTTAATTTTAATTTAAGTTACAACGATGTTTAATATTGACTAATGGAAAACAGGAAAAACGTCCACCCAATTAACTCTAAATTAGTCAAAGAATTTCCTTCCACGAAGTATAAACCTAATTCTTGAAGCACTCTACATATATGGTTTCTCACCTCTGTGTCATCATGATAATCTATTTCTACATTCCAGCTACAATTCGCCAATTGACTTCTCGGTTTATAATTAGCAAAGAGTTTAGTCTACTTTAATAATTAATTTTATGTGATATCCGTTATTAGTTTTGCATGTCGCGAAATGTTACGAGAACGAACGACTTTAGAGGGACTACAGTAAAAAAAGCTCTCTAAGCGGGCGCCACGAGAAA